ATACATTCTAAATAGAGTTGTATACTAAATGAGTTTTTGCATCTTTAAGTGAAATTACTTATTTTACAAATGTATTTAATCTATATCTGTGATCCCTAAACAGAACCTTCGGTTCTTAAATGTCAGGAAGTGGAAGTGAAAGTAAACACTCCTGCCTGTTTATCTGTCAGTCTGTAAACCATTACAATCAGCCAACTGGTAGCAGGTATTAATTCTTATTCCCATCATTACCCTAGTAATTGGCCTTCTGTTGTGGTGCAGCTTATTAAATACTACCACGCCAATGAGGACACACCTTTATTTATCTTAACAAACACTAATTACAACTGTTTGTTAAGTCTTAACAAGCTTGTCCGTAACATTACCATTCACAGTGCCTTTGAAGCTGAGACCCTGGAAAAGATGTCCCCAACATTGTTGCTATTACACAAAGAAAAAATGTTACAGTGCAAACTACACAGTGCATTGTCAGTAAAATGTGCATGTATTCACCTTATGATACAGAAATTGTGTAAATTTCCCCCATCTGTTGCTAAGTCTCTTTAACACTGCCAAACACAGTTACAGAGCACAGAACACACCAAGAACACCTACAAAATTAATTTCACTTTACAGTTCATTATATACATGAATGTCACAGCACTTTTTAAAAGCTGATTTCTTTGAAATATCCTTTTTCAGGGTGGAATGATTGTACAGCATACAAATTTAGACTTTCAAAAGCAGAACTTTGGTGCACAAGTTGAAATGTATTTTGGATTTTCTGTAATGCACAGAGGCTGAGAAGTGGTGCTTAAGGTTCTACAATGTCCTTCAACATGACAAGACCAAGGTCTTTTAACTTCTCATCTCAAGTTGAAGTTTTATGGCCAGATGAGACAAAGTGCTGGGGCTGCTGACAGTGGTAATAGTACATAGCACAAATGTTTGCAGGAAGGTGGATTTAGCAGAAACTGACCAGTTATAATTATGGATAAGCATACTGTCAGTAGAATAGCTGGTTTTACAAAGGAAGATAAAACGAATGTCAGAAAATTCTTCTATATCAATAAACTTAAAATTTGAAGTTGGAAAAAATGTTGATCGTGTAAGTGAACAAACTTCAGTTTCGCAAATCGAAAGAGTTGTGTAGACAGGCACTACACAAGCAACAGTCCATTACCACAACTCTGCAATTAAAGCATGGGAGACTCACATCCAGGTATCACCCCTAAATGTGTTATTATTAAGAAAAAAAAAATTAATTGTTTATAAGAAAACAATCATAAAAATGCAAGGCTGTAGCTAAAACACTACATATTAATTTTTTTTTATAGGTTAAACAGGTTAGAGTTTTTACAGGGTGGAGATATGGTCATGAATCTCACAGACTGTTGACGTTTACAACAAGTGTTTGGCATGTAGAAAATTCTATAGATGCACCTGCTTATGTTCCAGTAATCAAAGCTTCTCTTTGGGTTTGTAGCTCCCATCTGGATCAGAGTTTCCACCCAGGAACATTACTCTTCTTTTTTCTCTCCCTCTTTCCCTCTCTCTCATGCACCGTGGTGAATAAATAGGTCAATAACAATGAAACAAAAATAAATTATTATTTTATTGTGAAATAAATATTTTATTATGCATTAAGAGACATTCCAGAAACATACATTCCAATATTTGTTCTCATCACATCCAGGTTTCGAGGCAATAACTGAATGATGTGCAATAATATTCTTAGATTCATGTAATCTTTTTTTTTTATCTGCTTCTTTTGGAGAAGATAAGAGTAGGTCAGAGGACTTATTGATGCTAATATCACATTATGATAACAGTAAGAAGCAATTTATTTATAAAACAGAAAACCCTGGTTTAACCCTGAAGTTATGTCAATAATCCCAAATCCTGCTTCATAGCACAGGCTTCTGGTCTGACCCACTTGAGATCAAATTGGGCTGTCTGTGCCCCTTGAACTAAAATGAGGTTGGTATATTTGATAGTTGATTGTAATAAAATAGTGTATAACAAATAATGACATGTCATGAGGCCCTTATGCTGTGTTGTTAAGCAACTTAGTTATGACTCTACATTTGATTTTTGTTTTGTTTTTTCTCTCGCCTCACTCATTTATTTCTACTGATATCCTAATAAATATTTAAACATTCTTCTCTTCGTTAGCTTGGATCGAGTAAAACGTATAAAAAATTGATAACTGATAAAGAAGTCAGTCAATGTGGGGAGATGAGAGACGGGTATTCCTGGTTTACAGAACCTCCTGGAACAACCAGTGAATTTGGCTCACTCTCTTTGTTCTCCAGCTCTCACAAGAAAAAGAAAGGTCAAACTTTCAAATTTCAAACATCATCACAATTTTGCTTCATTAATGTCCACATTACATTGACTTCATGCTGAGTGCGACTCTCTTGTTGTGTAAATCTTACTGTCAGTATGTTCTTAGGGCCTTTTTCCGGTAATTGTTGCTGTTGCAATGTTAAAGCAAGCTATATTTAAATTTTCTACTTTCCTTGTCAGAAAGTGTTTGTTCTTACCATTGCTGCATATTTAAACTAGCAGGCAAACAAAAATAAATGCAAAGCTGTTAATTGAGCTAAACTTTATTACCTAACTGTTATTAACAAGCTGTTGGGGTTGTTTAAAGGACATACCTCTGAATAACATACCTCTGAACAAACTTCCAAGAAGGCAGAGCAAA